TTCTGAAAACAAGATTATTATTCTTACACAGTCAGTTCTTGTTTAGTAAATCAGTCTCAAAACAAGATCAAAAAGACTTTTTTTGGCTGGATATAAGATTTTAAAACTTGGTTAGGTGGACAGTTTTTGCAGTGTAAAAACAGGACCCAATTTTTGCAAACTGATTTTTCTTCCTAATACTGATTACTATAGGTGCATGGCAAAAAAATGTGATGATTTGGTGCAAATCTGTTAAAACTGGCTGCTATTCTAGTCTGATGGAAGAAAACTCACGATCCAAGATGGCCGCCGCAGCAAAGCAAACTGAGCAAACACAAAAATGTCTGTAACTCAGCCAGTTCTACAGATGTTGAGCTAAAATTGGATGTGGTCGTAATCAAAGGTCAATCCCAACACGTACTTCAAGTACTAACTGATCGTGCAAGATCTGTTTTTAAAATTTGCCATAAACTATTAAATAGAGTCAAATGTAGTTGCCTGTTAGCAAAATATCTCATACACAACAGAATTTAATGAAACTCAGAGCACAAATCTACAACTCATAAACCTTTGGATGCAGCACAATGTGAGATGGCTGCGACAGCTAACTTTGCAAACACAAAAATAACCATAACCCAGACAGTTTGAGTGTAGAAGTAGCTGAGCATCATCTTCAACAGATATTTGGAGCTCATTTCATGACAGTTTAATCTTAAGGATTCTCTGTTGGCATCAAAGCTGTGGTTTTATAGCTAAATATGTTGCTGTCGTAGCTGGGAGTCATTCTCAACACGTGCACTATCAGGAGATTGTGCACAACTTCATTTACTTCTCAGCATGAGATATTTTCAGTTTCAATCTTAACGATGTGCATTCCTTTGAGAGACGGCTTTAATTTCTACAAATTTCAGTTTTTATTATTGTTTATTTTATTCTGGCATTGTGCATCATGGCACTGTTATAAAACAGTAGTGTTTTCCAGTCAGTGAAGCAAAGGCTCAGCCAGCCATAAAACTATAATCACCAATTAGGCCAATCAACAAGAGGGCAAATGTTAGAGCAGCCGTCTTAATTACTGAAAGATCAACAGGATAATTGAAAATATTCAGAGCTGACTGGAGCAGGAGCTTCCTCTAAATAAAGTTAAATAAAATCAAAACATCATCTCAAATATCAGCAAAATAACCATTTGTCAGATAGATGAACTGATGTTAAAAATGTAATTCAGCTTCTCTTGTTATTTTTTTTTAAACAAAACAGTTTTTTCTTAGAGAGGGAGCTCATCCAGCTTCTGTAAAATAAATTAGAGCTGACTCAGCATCTCACCAAATCTCCAAGAACCCATTTATGCTGCTCCAAATCTTTCTGACATGAGCTCATCCATCTTCAAAAGCTTTTCACAGGATCTTAACACAACTGCAAACAGACTAAACTAAATATTTCCATGCACACTCGTGCTTTGTGCAGTTACACCCTGCATTAAATGTGACCTTCACACTCCATCTGCTTGTCCTAAAGCCAGTTTGTGCCTTCCTGCAGCTCTCACCGCAGGACTGGACGCCCGCTGGGTAAATCTGAGCAAGCGATGCGTGGAGCAGCGCTGTCTGCTGCAGCCTCATCATGCCAGGAAAAAAAAAAGGTACTACGAAGCCTCGTGCTGGTTATATAACGTAACGGCAGAAAAGAGAAATCTACGAGCGAGGACGATCGAAGTTCTGCAGCACCTCTGACCCGTTTGAACAGATGGCATCAACAGTTGCTTGTCACATTGTTCTTCCTCAAGGATGTGCAGCTGCTGAGAGTCAAGCTGACAGATTTTAAAGATGGGTTTGGAAAAGTTGTTTTCAGAGTCACTAATCGACTCAATGCTGGAGGTACATGTTCAAATAACAGCTCAGTTGTTTGCAGCATTAAAGCGACAGATCAAAACCAGCAGGTGAAAGCAACGTCTTCCATCAACTGACAGGCCAGGATCAATCAAAGTCATTTAAAGCTTCAATAAAATCAATTTTTTAAAATAAACTTGCATCTAATTGGCCAAAACCCATACATGATTTACATGCAAGGTGAGTTTTTTTGTTTTTACAATGATTATCCTTTATCAGTGTAAGCTAAACTAATGCTTGAGCTTTTTAAAATGCTTTATAAAACCTTTACTGACATGAAACAGTAAAATGTCAAACAGAACATTGGGACCAGTCAGGACAGATCCAGTCAAAAATGTAAGTGGTCCAGTTGACGGGGGTCACACCATGACATAAACATGCACTGAGGGTCAAGTCAGGGAGACGGAAACAGGGTGAAAAACCTCCAAACGTGGCTTACCTTCTTGGTGAAAGATTTAAGCGACTTTACTGAGTTCCCCATGGCAACAAAACAACAAACGCCTCACAAAATATCCTCGTTTTATGTTTTCTCTCTGACCGAGCGGCTGCACCTGTATGTAAGTGCACGTACGTGCGTGTATGTTTGCATGACATGCATTGGAAGAGGAAGCAGGGCTTCTGTGGGTCACTGACTGATATAAAAGGACATTTGGGAAGAGGGACGATGGGAGGCAGAGGGGAGGATCGGGACGGGGAAAAGACGAAGGATTGTGCAGGACGGGGAGGACTTGGAGGCAAGGATGCTGGACAGTAGGAGGACAGGGACACTGAGACAAAGAAGGAATTATTTAAAGACTAATGAGGAGAAACATAAAGAGCAGGAAGGGAGAGGAAACATGCAGCTATCCGTAAGAGATGCAAAAGCCTGAAGTAGGAAAGCAGGATTGCTTATTCATCCCATCCTCTCTCCTACAGAGCCTTCCCTTCAACCCTCCCTCGCCTCTACCCTCTCTCTTTGTGTGTCTGTCAGGACGTCTCTTGCTCTTTTTCCCACACCCTCCATGCCCCCCAACTCCTGCTAAGTCCACAGTTTTAAACCATCCATGCCAACGTGACAGAAGAAGCTCATTCAGACAGCATATTACCTTCCCCTGAGCAAGATGCTGCAGACACTAATCCAAACACACACACACACACACACACACACACACACACACACACACACACACACACACACACACACA